TTATCATTTAGTATCATCCTCTATTTTGAAATAATCCCCTGCACTAAATAAAAAGATCAGTAGAATGCCGACCTTCCAAATCCATGGTTAGTTCAAGAAATCTACCATATGATGTGGCCTAAATAAGATAAGGGAGGGGGGTTTAGCTTATTTGGGTCACCCATAATATTATATTATATATATATATATACCCTGATGCAGGCTGAGAGAGGCTCATGGGATGCAGATGATGATGTCAGGGGAATCGATCCCGATCGGTATTGATTATGGTTAAATTAAATAAAATAGTGGCGGTATAATCAATACAAACAACAATGCTCGATCCATGAACATGGGGGCCTGGATGTGTGGAATCGATACATGATATTATGATAATATCTACATGTTCCGATATATTAGCTTTTCGTATTGTTGAGTTTGAAATGCGATCACAGTTGAAATTAAAGATTTATCATACCAGCAGTTTTTTGGTCTTTTGGTTGGGTTTTTTAAAACTCTTGTTTTCTTCATGCTTTCGATTCGAGCTTTTTTCTGGAAGCGTTTGATAAGAAAGAAGGAGCAAATTATCACACCAGAGCACCCACCAACCAACCACATTGTCAGTTTGAGCAATATGTCAAGTAAGTACGTACGCCGTCAAACAATTTACAGTTGCACTTATTTTTTGGTTTCTGTTGTTTGTTGTTTTGTTTTTTATTTTGGTTGTTGGGTTTTTTAAGGTTTTTTTGTAAATGTTCTACGGCGCTCGCAACTGCATAATAAGATCATTTATATAAGCGCGTGGGACACAATAATTAAGCACTTTTAGTTTGGTAAGAATTAATTTTGAATTTTGCCCAGGTGGCGACCGGAGTCTACTCTTATCGACTTTTAGTTAAGAACTAAAAATTAACGTGGATTAACATCAAAATTGAATTGCAGAAGCCTACAAGTGTGTTATACAGGGGAGAAAATATATATAACAGTGGTGAAGGGGAACAGTAAAAGAAAATTTTTCAAAAGAAGAATTTCTTTTTTGGAATAGTTTGTCAAGAGAATGCGTTTTGAACTATTTTACGAAACAGACACGTTTTATCTTAGGCTTTAATAGTTCTTGTTCCATTCACAAATATACAGGGGGCTCTCGTGGCCTAGAGGTTAAGGTGTTGGCCTCTCATTCAAAGGTCCCGGGTTCGATTCCAGGTAGCGACCAAAAATTTTTCTTCTCTAAAATTATCTCCTTTCACATCCTTTCCTGATCTCTAACAATGTTCTGTTGTCTGCTTTCATTTCCACTTTCTGCCCTCACCCCCTCACCTCCTTTGC